CAACGCTCGGAAAGAAATCTATCTCGAAAAAGTCTAATCGCGTTGTGTATCTCTGTTTTCACGGAATCAGATAGTTTTGACCCTAGTATGGATGATCATCGAACCACCGGGGACAAGGTTCTCCTATCCAGACCGGAAGCAGGTGATCCTCAAGTGCAACATACAGGACATGAGTTTCCTCTTCTCTCAGTTGTACAACGCGTTGCTGATCCTGATCTCGACGGTGTACGCGGTGAAGACGCGGAAAATACCGGAGAACTTCAACGAGAGCAAGTTCATCGGCTTCACCATGTACACCACCTGCATCATCTGGCTGGCGTTCGTGCCGATTTACTTCGGGACCGGAAACGCCCACGAGACCCAGATCACCACGCTCTGCGTGGCAATCAGCCTGAGCGCCACGGTGACGCTCGTTTGCCTGTACTCTCCTAAGGTGTACATCATCGTCTTTCAACCGGACAAGAACATCCGCAGGAAGGTCACCATGGGTGACAAGTCGAAGAAGCAAGGGAGCAGCGCGGGCACTTCCTCCATTACCAAATGTGAGTATAGACTTGTATCGAAGAATATTAAGAAACAGCACTGACCTTGGACTCGAATTTTACTTCGAACTGCAGTCTGTAGTCAAAAAGTCGGGGACACTTGTGATTTTCCGACATCATGTGTGTTCCTAATATGTTCGCAATAATTTTATAATCATATATTCGCATAATAATTTCAATAATATCAAAATATTTTAATAACAATATAATTTCATAGCGACTTTTATCAACGGCAAAGATTGATTTGTAACATATGCAGTCTTCATTTTTATACGTGTATGTAATATTCAATATTTTTTAATAATTAATAATTTGTGTTTCCCCTCTTGTACTTTGATTGCATATATTCTTTGATAATATCTAGTAACATTTAGTAATATTTAGTAGCATTTGTATTATAAAGGGAACAAATTAAAAGTTTCATGAATAGTGACCCGGCTTTCTGGTTCAAGTGTTAAAACGCAACTTCAACATTTCAAAAGTCAGAGAGACATAAAACCAACGCATGAATCACTATCTAATATTGTTAATTATACTGTCTTGTTATGTTATTCTGAAATATGCGGAATAGTTATTCTACCTCTCTGTTAATTTGTAATACTTGACTTAACAAAACAAGTTGAAGATCCGACTGTACTTTCTCTATGAAGCTGACGTAAAAAAGTGAAATTTAAAAGTTAGACGAAAGTTTATCGCTTTTGACATAGAGAACTATAACGCAGAACTCTGATATAATCTGAATCTAAAATAGGAGTAGCGTAATTCTGAGGACAAACGTCTGCCTAAAGTCAACTTCTTACTTTTGGTACACAGTTAGTTACATACCGGATTTTGTGCATTTGAAAAGAAATCAAAGCCGTAGATACTCTATCTCGGAACATTTGTTTATACCAGTTGTTTGTTACATCAGTTTAGTATACTAATTTTCTGTTTCGAAAGAAATTTAAGAAAATTTCGATAAAAATCTTGGGACGAAATCAATTTTTGTGACATTGTATTTCGCACTTTTTTATCTTCACGTCAAATATAATAAATATATCACAGATAACATACACTGAGTTTTTAAATAAATAATATAGTAAATTGTTTAAAAATGTCTGTCTAATTTCAATTAACAAAAAATCGTTTTGCATCTCATTTCATGTGGACTTTTATAATTGTCCAACGATGCATAAAAGATATTGATAGTAAAATATCATTGGGTCGAAAATGGAACAGCCTTTAATTTCTAACATAAATATATATACACACTGAAGTGCATAATTGCACCAATGACAATGAAAAATTGTCGAGAATTTAAACTGATATAACTTCGTAAAGAAGGATTATATAATCGATTTTTTGGTCTCATTTTAAATAATAGCCGTGAGTTCGTTTCTTTCGAAAGTAATTTTACATCGTTGAAATTTTTTAATATTTTTGCACACGTTTAAATTTTTACAATTTTTGAGAAAAAAAATATCACCTTGTACGTTGTTATGTGATGCTAAAAATTTTTTAGAATAAAATGAACCATGTATATGAAACGGAAGCTTCAAACTTCAAAATAAATATCGGTTTATGATTTATTTTTACGAAACTTTAATAGTTTAAATATTTAGCGATTGAATACTAATGTAAGATAAGTATTGTCGAGTACATTTTTTTTTGACACTAACATTTTTAAAATAATCAAACCCGTCAATACGATGAACTTCAGATTTTCTTTGTCAATTGCTTAAAAAATTTGGATATTTTTGTCAAAATTAATATTGATTTCTATCTAAACAAAAACGTAATTGCATAAATCTATTTATTTCGTTATCTATAAATCTAAATCTAATTCTACACATAAATTTATTTATAAAATATTTTGATACGTATCGGAGGCCAGTTGTAATGTTAAAAACAATGACCACTAAAACTTTCACCACACTACTTAGGGTGATAATCTTGATGATACATTAAAAAAAAAAATCACTAAAATTGGAGATGGTCCCCTTTTTGCAAGTAATTATTAAATTACGGATTTTTATGCATTTGTAGGAAATTTGAGAAAATTTATAGAAAATTTTACAACATGTAAAAACATATGAAATATTCAAAGAAGTAACACGTAGAAGAAACAATTTTTCATTTTAGATTCCATTCTTTTAATTATTTTATCTATTTTATCTAAATTTAACAAAAAATACATACAAATCCGCAGTCTGATAATTACCAAAAAAAAATTCAGATTTGGAATCCACCGAAGCCTATATAAACAGTAGGCTAAACAGTTCTACTGGAACGTAGACGATCGATTGCGTCGCGCGAAATATAATATACGCGGTGTTCCATTTCGAAAGAAGCGAACTTTCGCCTCTCGGTTGAAATCAGCCCGGGATGATAAAGGCGGCTAATAATGCCCCCGAATCCGCTGACTCGATCGCAAATTACGAAGCCTCGAAACACGGTAGTGAAACTCGGCTCGCTGCCAACACCTTGTACCGCCCACGGCCTCATCCACTCTCTCGGCCGTATTTTCTTTGTACTCCACACTTCATCGCGACATGAAGTCGATCAATTTGTTGGATCCTCGAGCGTCTATCACGGCAAAATAACGGTCCTCGCCGAGGAAAACATTGTTTCGTCTTTGGATCCGTCTTATGATCCGAGCCCTTGTGAAAGAACCACCTCGTGGACCAACCCTTTCGTTGTTGATTAAAATAAACCGCCTGCTGCGAGATATAACTATCCGAGAATTTAAAAAAGCAAGGCGCACCTCGCTGATCTCGACATTCTGAGTGATTTGTAATAAAAGAATATAATCAAATTTATAGGTACAAATATTTTTCGACACAATATTTACTGTATCTTTTAATTCACTCGGATATTGTTTACTTCGACTTCTAGTTTGCTCGACTTTTAGATGATAAAAAAAAAAGGTAATTATAATTATGAGATTTTTATTAAAATTATATATATATATAGATATTTGCATATATTTCATTAAATTTCATTAACTACATAAGAAGTCTAGGATTACGGAATTAAGAACTATATTTGTTCTAGTTGTATTTCTTTATCATAGCCCAAATGTACCCAATCAATACTATAAAACTTTATACAAAATTATATTTATTATTTTCTAACGCGGATCCTATAAAATTTTTTGTATATTTATATATATAACTAAAAGTGAGTGATACTTATATATATATATAAAAATGAAGTTAATCAATACTTTACAATATGTATTATAAAGTATGCAATGAAACTTGTGTGAGGTGTCGTAGCAATAATTAGGATAAAATATAATTATTGAATTTAAATAAACTTCAACTTAAACTTCACCTTAAAGTCATCTCTAAATTTCAATCTGTGCATCATGAAACACTATATTAATCACTAATATAATAATGAGATATGATAATAGTATAATAATGAAATAAAATATAATGAAAGATTGTGTAATTTAGCTTCAGAGAAAAGAAAAAAAAAAAGAATGAAAAAGTCCTATGGAAAAAATGATTAAAAATTATTTTAATTATTTGGATCAACTAACTATAACGAAATAAAAGAAACAATACAAATGTTACCACAATATTTTGTGTAAAGTCACCAAATATTTTCGTGAACACCACTAAAGAAATAACATTTAAACAGAATTCTTTTTACATCTATTATAATATTATAATGGACCCCAGTCTGAATATTTTATATAATATGTTAGGTTTAAAGATCGAAAACGAGCGAAAAAAAGACGACCAGAACGCGTTACGGCTTTAGAGAAATGATCACAACGCGAAATTGTTTTTGAACAATTACAACTTGTTCTGACAACTTGTTAACTCTCCGCGGGCAATCATGTTTTTTCGCACTTTCCGCGGGTGATTTGTCTAAATGACCAATCTTTTTATTATTTTTGACTTTTAAGAGAAATCTAAAAAATATTCTAAGATGTTCATTGAAATCTCCATTTTAATATGCAATCGGCCTTTGTGTTAAAAAAATTTCGAAGAAATAATTAGCAAGAATAGAAGTTCACTTCGAAGGAATTCAAGAGTGAAATTTGGGGATATAAATGAAGTTCACGATTGATTAAAAAATACGATGCGAAATTGGTGTCATGGCTGTTAAAGAAATTGACCAGAACGCATTATGATATTTTCATAATGCCTCTCCCCATCTTATAAAACGCCTAACTCGACTCAAACTTATTTTTAGCTAAATTAGAATTAGATTTGGATCTTTCTTTAAGACTAGAACGCGTTCTGGTCGTTTTCTACGCTCACTTAGCATTTTCGATCTTTGAGCGTGACGTACGCACATACATATTGTGAATTTAAACTCACGGTACGAACAAATAAAGTCGGGAAGATTCTCTACGGATGATTCAAAATAAGACCGAGGTCGGGAGTAACAAAACTGTGCCAGAGATTTATTTTCGAGAAAATTGTCTTTGAAAGCTCAAGTCAGTGTGCTTTGAAGTTCTTGAATTCCTAACGAAACAAAAACAGACAATCAAGAGGCAGTTATTCTACGCACAAGAAAATGTGAATGTTTCTCGTTTAAATGATTGAGTTAATGAGAAAAATAAGGTTCTGATTTAATTAAGAATCGGCGTGTACTCGATTAATTTTCAAATCCGATATTTTCTCGAGAATGAAACAATCTCTCGACCTTGATCTTGTTTTGAATCTTCCCGACTTATTTTAAGAATCTTACTGGTCGGATACGTGTCACGAATTTATTATAAACTCACATTCTTGAACGTATTTTTAAACCTCGTAAATATATGATAGTTAAATTTTATTTTAACGTTAAATTTTACGACGTGACACACAGATTAAAGTGTTAGCTTCTTATATGTATTTTGACGGTGCTTTGTAATAAAGCTGATGGAAATTAAAGCACAAAGTAGTAACACCGACTGATCTATACATCCGTAATTAGGATCATACAGTCTCGGCTAAAATATAGACGACGTCGTAAAATGAAACAAGGTGTTGAGGTGTTAATCATATTACTGGTGTGT